GGCACGTAGCAATTTTTAATCATTGGTCACCATTATTCTCAGGCAGGAGTTGGCAAACTGTGAAGTCAATATTTTAGGCTTTGCAGCCATCGTCTCTGTGGCAACCACGCCACTCAGCTCTGCTGCTGTACGAAAGCAGCCACAGCCGATACGTAAATGAATGGGCACGGTTGTTTCCAATAAAACTTTATTTAAATCAGGTGGGCCGTAGTTCTAAGATGATACCAGGCAGGTCTCCAGTGCACAGAAGTGTCCTCGCAGTGGAGGAAGGACAGGAGGGCACACTTGCTCATCCAGAAGGTACTATGGGGAAGGGTTATCACAAGCCAAGGGTTCTTAAGCCGGGGCCCGTATGCCTTATGGGAATTTACCAATGGGCTGTCAATGGGTCCCTGAATTTGTATGTAACATTGTTTGTGTACACGCATGTTTGTGTATGGGCAATTTTCTGGGGAGAAGGTTCACAGCTTCCTCTACATGAAATAAGGAGTCTCTGACCCCCAAAAGATGAAGATCCACTATGTTAAGCCAAGGGACGATGCAGACTTCAGTGAAGACCCCCAATGACCTGGGTGCCTAATAGACGTGGGGAGGGGAGGTCACAGAGCTGGCCGGGCCACAGTCGCTTAGAAGCAGCTCGGGTCTCCTGGTCCCTCTCCCTGGGGTCTTCCCCTGATCACTGACTCTCAGACTGTTTCGAGGGGTGTTGTCTGGTGGTCCCTGGTTTGGAGACAGCCTCCTGTCACACGACAGCTGAACACTCCCTGGCTGAACCCCTGTGGAGCTCCTAGGAAGCCCCTGTATTTTCTCTTCCCTCCCTCAACCTGCAGAATTGGGGGGGCAGTTCCTTGGGACCCCAGCTTCCTGCCCAGTCGGGTAAGGGGGTGAGGTCCTCAGTCAAGGACACACAAGGGGCAGAGTGGGGGACAGGGCAGAGGGCTGGGGACCGGATGGGTGCTATCCTGCTGGTTTTGGCTGGAAGAGGTCCGGACCAAACTTGGTTTCTGCCACATGCTGGACTGGACCAGCTCAGCCACGACTTGGGGGGCCTGCATGATCTCAGAGCTGATCACCAATGCTGCCGCCACCACCACACTGACCCGCGAAGGAGCGTGGCGGCACCTGTGCATGGCTGATGGGGCCTGTGACTACTGGAGAGGCTGGTGGTGCCACCCCAGAGGTTAGACCCTATGGGAAGACTGACCAGTGGGAGACGGAGCAGCAGGAGCTGGCACATCCCTTCCGACCCTTGCTCTCCCCGGGAGGACTGTCCCCAGACACGGCAGCTCATCCGGCCTCTCTGAAGTCATCCCACGAGACTGAGTCAGTTGCACTTGCTGCTGATCAGTGGCCACAGTGACCCGTTTCTAGGGAGCCCAGGATAAGACACATGGTGCCAGAAGTGGTCCTGGAAAGCAACAGGGGACTGACCATCAGGTTTCCCAGGACGTAGGTCTGTCCAGGAGCAGGAGGTCACCTCAGAAGGCAGACCTCAGGGTGGTGCCCTCGGAGGGCAATGAGGCCCCATGGCTGGTGGGAGGAGGTGACATCGGTTACCATGGCTTGTACCTGTGGTTGATTGGACCGTGGTGCACAGGACGATGAGACATTGAAGCCCGCAGTGGCAAAGGCTCCCGTGCTGTAGGGGGCAGCGACATTTATGACGCTGGGGGTGTGATCGGGCTGCTGTGACAGCACTGGAAGCCTTGCAAAAAGAAGACGGGAGGCGCAGGGCAGCCTCGCAGGTCGGCTGTTCCCCTCCCAGGGCATGGGGCACCGGGGTGGGGTTGGAGGAGTATTCGCCATTCATACTTGCGGGGTGTTGCAGCGTCCTTCCTCAAGGGGACCAGGCCCACCTTGTCAGTGGTCTTAGGTCTGTGAGCTCACTTAGTTCTGGAAGAGTCTCCAGCAAATGTCAGTCTTCTTGGGTCTGAGCTGACAAGGCTGACCAAGACCTGAAATGCCACCATGGTCCTCTGACTGAAAAGGGGCTTATAGAGCCATGGGATAAAAGAGCTTTGGGGGAGACTCATCTTGAAGTGACCCCAGTAGGCTCCCAGATGTAGAACTGGGATAGGGTCACCTGCAGGTCGTTTGCTCCTGACCTGGAGAGTAAAGACACTCCCCACCAAGGGTGACACACGTGATGTCACTTCTGGCTGCTTCCTAAGACCCTTGGCCTGGCCAGGCCCTGGGGGGACTGTCGAGGGAGGGAGGCAGTGCTCCCCCCCGGCCAGCGGGACCAAGGCTAGACCCTTCCGAAGCTGGGGGGCCATGCTGGAGTGGCAGGGGCCCCTGCCATGGTCTCTGTCACAGGATAGAGGGGGCCTGCTGCAGGGCGGCTCCCTCTACCAAGGTCAGGCAGAGGTGGTCAGTGGGCAGCCTTGGCCAGCGAGGTTTCTGCAGAAGCAGCAGAAGGTTTCTGCAGAAAGACCCAAGACCCCATTCACCGAGTCAGGCAGGCCAGTTCTTTCCCATGCAGGGGTGATGTGCCCTCGTGGGTGACCGGGCTCCTATCCTGAGCCCCTCCCCTGTGGCCTGGGGTCTGGCCCTCTCTCCATGGCTGGAATCTCTAGTTATGTGGGTTCCCACTGTCTCGGGTTAACAGGTTGGGGGTGTGGAAGGCGAGTAGGCCTGTGGGCTGCTGGTGACCCTAGTCACAGCACTGGTGAGGAGACCCCAGTCTGACATCCAGGGGAAGGGAGGCACGGCAGAGGCTCCGGGAGTGTCACCCTGCGGCGTGGGCACCAGGAGATGAAGCAGGGGACTCTGGGTGGACACAAGCAGACAATGTTTAAAGGCTTTGGGGGCTGCACATGGGTTGGGGGTGATTGTAAAACGCTGGGGTGGGGGTGACCACAGAGGAAGGGGCTTGTGAGGAAGAGAGGGAGCGATTCATTCCAGAAAGCATGTGTTCTGTGCCTACACGGGTCAGTTATTGGTAATGACAGGTCTAGAGTAAGACACTGGGGACAGTGGCCACAGTGGATACAGGACAAGACCCCTAGAGGAAAGGAACTGAGAGGCTGGGGGTGTCCACTTCAACTGTGGTCACCTGGGGGCACTGAGAGGTGCCCAGCTGGCAAACACTTGCTGCTAGACATTGAAGAAGCCACACTTAGCAGGATCAAGCCCCATCCCCAGGGGCAGCATTGAAACGGAGGAGACGGACCATGGTCTTGTCTTATCTCTGGAATACTGGTAAGGTCCTGTGCGAGGCGGGGCTATGTGGCAAGGAGTGACTGGGGGGATCCTGCTGGAGCTGGGGCATGGGGTGGGGCATTCAGAGACTGCCTTGGATTGAGTGTCCCCCCAAAACTTGACCCCCATTGTGTTAAGAGAATGGGAAATCTTATTATGGTAATTGAAAGGCGGGGCTTTGAAGAGGTGATTAGATTGTAGGACCGTGCCCTAGAGAATGGATTAGTAATGGTGGTCAGGGGCATGGTTCTGAGGGCTTTAAAAGGAGAACACGTGAGAGTCTCTCTCTCTGCTCTGCCATTTTCTGCCATGTGAGACCCCTGCATTGCTTTAAAGCCACCACCAAAGAAGACCCTCACCGGGTATGTTCCCTGGACTTTGGACTTCCCGGCCTCTGAAACTGTGAGTGGTAAATTTCATTTTCTTATAAATTATCCAGTTCCAGGTATTTCTGTCATAAACAACAGAAACGTACTAATACAGATACCTTCCCAAGGAGGTGACATCTGAGCCAAGACCTAAAAGATCGTATCCCTGGATCTGCAGCAAGCCAAGCCTGAGAGCGCACACCCAGGGCCAGAGTGAGGCACAGGGCCAGGGAAAGGTAATAACTGTGGGGCTGCTGCTAAGTGCAGCTGGTCACCTGAGCCCCGGGACAGCCCTCTGAAAAGCCAGGCAGGCTGCAGCCATCAGCTAAGGGGGTGGGGAAGGAAGAGGATCCATCCCCCTGTGCTTGTCCCATTGGTGAAAGGTTTGTACCATGGAGGACTAGGCCCCTGAACTTCAAGGTTGTACAGGCACAGGTTTGAGCAGTGTCTCATGCCTCAGGGTCAACAAGGAGACCTTATGGCAGAAAGCAACTCAGGTGCAGGGCAGGAGAGATTCCAGGTGCCATCAAGTCGCGCCTGTGTGGACACTGGCTGGCACCCACAGAGCTGGTTGCTATGACACGAACAGGAACACAATACAGGTGAAGGCATGACTATCTGAAGTGTTACCACGTGTTAACTGGGGAGGGCATCCCGGGCAAAGAGACAGAAGGTGCAAAGGCCCTGTGGCTTTCATTTTCTATTTTTCCATCCTACAACTTTGCAAACTGATAAAGACAGGATGCACCTCCATCCCGAAATAAACAATTCTGAGTTCTGCAAATGAAGCCCACAGTGACCCAGAGCTGGGGAGAGGCCTACAGAGAAGTGGACTGTGAATCTGATGTGTGGCACTGGTTTCTGCTCTCGAGGGTCTTCCCCGGCCGACCCGGCCAGGCAGCTGAAGCCTCTCTGGGCTGCTGCTATGTGCCAAGTCATGTTTAGTGCCTAGGACCAGGGCAAAGCAGAGACAGCCTCCCTGCCATGCAGACACTCCCTAAGGAGGATGACGGAATTGGTTTTGAATCCAGACAAATTTGGGATACGAATTCCTGCTCCCCACTTATTACCCAGGTCAAGTTTGATCTTTCAAAGCCTTGGTTTCCTCGTCTGTTCATGGAGTTGGTCTGGATAAAATGGGAACACAGAGATGAACGTTCGACCCACGCCTAGCACAGAGGAAGGCTCTGGAAGCAGTAGGGGTACCAGAGACCCCCCAGCTGGGGGGTGGGGGTGGGAGGAGAGATGCTTTGCTGCTATTCTATGTCCCTGAGCTACTGAGAAAGGCTTCTCTGCAGATTAAAATGTTATCCAGTCCTGGAGATTGTAACAGCCCCAGTGCAGATCCTCCAGCTCCCAAAGCCCTCCCAGCCCACCCCTCAGCCACATCTCGAGGGCTCTGGGTCAGAAGGAAGACACTGCACACAGAACTGGTCTCCAGGGCCTTTATTCAGGAAGGTGGGGCATCCGCAGTCTTGGACAGGTTCTGTGCAGGGGCGTGTAACAGTTCAGTTTCCTTCAAGGTCCCATGGGGTGGGGTGCAGAAGAGGACAGCCTCTCTGAGGGGGTCCTCTCCTCCAGAAAAAAGGCACCGACAGGGTAAACACCCTAGAGCAAGAGGCCAGATTATATACACACGCAGGGTTAACCAGATCAGTGGAGCTCAAAGCTAAATACAGCTGACGGGGGACAGAGCCATCTTGGGGGGCCAGGGTTGCTTCTGGGTTTTTTCCACCAAGTGGAAAACGAAGTACAGGAAGGCCAAGCTTTAAAGGAGACACAGAATCCAGCCTTTCAGTTGTAGTGTTTTGTGCAATTTTTAAAACCAACAAAATAAATATAACTTAAAAACTTCTTACAGGACACTAAAGGCGAGTCTGGGGAAAGCAGCCGAGGAATGCTTCTGAGAGCACTAAGCAGTCTGAAGGCCCAGCACCCTCGGGGACCCCGTTCACCTGTGCACAGGTGCATTCAGCGTGTCCCCCCTCCTGGCACCTGTATGGCTAAGGAGTCCCTGGTGGGACCAGGGCTGGGTGGGCCTGGTCTTTCAGACTGCCAGGGCAGGGGTTCTGGGAAATTCCATTCCAGGATCTATCTGTCCCACTGAGACAAGGGGGAAAAAGGGCCAGGGGGTGACAGATGGCTTGAGAGACAGAGGTGTGGGAGAGACCTAGCGTGGTAAATACAAAAAACAGAACAAAAACCCTCAGTAATACAGAATAACCCTAAAAAGATGGCATTTTTTTTTTATCACTCTCACAGATATAACGTAACCTGAAGGAAAGTATTGCCAATATGGGGTCCCGTGGGCCACCTTTAATAAAGAAATCATTTGCATATCAGCACACTGTTTGCAAACAACTGATGCCTGCTTAAAGTGCTTGGAAAGTTTTATTCTCTTAAATAGGTTTCGCTGGTCCCCTCTAATTTTAATTCATATCGTTAATTTGCTTTAGCCAACTTTTTCCATCGAAAACTCTTTTTCTAGTCCATGCTTGCGTAATCTTGACGTCTGAATTAATGACATCTGTCCCTTCCCCGATGATGGCTGAAGCACAGACCATCCAAGTCCCTTCTAACCTGCAAGTGATGCTAGCTCCGGAGACCCAGAGCTGGCTCTGGCTCCCCGACGCCCCCGTCCTGCCTGCCTTCCAGATCACGTGCTGTCACGAGGTCTCTGTGCTCAGCAGGGGCGGGAGTGTGACCTTTAGCGAGTCAGCCCACACCAGAGCTCACCACTGTTTTGAACGAGAGCCAGGAAGTTTAAGTGATTTCCTTTTTTAAAATCTGTACTTAAACATCCTCATGTGTCCCATCCTCTGCCCCCACCAACTGTCACTCACCCAGCACAAAAGGGGAAACGTACATGTCACATGGGCCCTGGGGCGCCAGGGTGGGCGGCCCAGGCAGTGGTCCCTGCTGGCGTGCACACCTTTGTCCCCACCTTCTCCCTCTGTGTCCCTGAGGCAGGCCCTGCTGGCCTGGAGCCCGGCTGAAGCTCCTCCGCTTTCTCTCTGCACTCCTGCACCTCTCACAGCAAAGCCCCCAGGGGCCTGGGGACACAGCTCCAAATGGCAACAGAGCAAGGAGCTTTGTTCTTAAAGAGTCGTGCCAAATTTACATTCCTCTCAGTAACACAGACTTACTTGCTTGACAGTCAAACTAAGGCTTAAAAAATGGTTCCCTGTGAATCTTTGAGCAACACAGAGACTCCAGGAAGAGATGCCCGGCACAGCCCTGGCACTGGCCCTTACCCTGGAAGCTACCTACACTACATTAGGAACACAAGTCTGAGCCCTTCAAGCCATGAGACTTACCTCAGGGGAAATTCAAAAATGATACCAGAATCCTGCCTCCTTCCTGCCTGGTGCTGGCCTGAACCCCCTCCTGTCCTCTCCCCATAACCATGAGTGACCTGGACCTCATGCAAGGTCGACCAGCTAGCACCAGGGAGGTGAGAGCGAGAACATTCTCCCCCAGGGCAAGAGATTCTGCAGGGCCCGTCTTTCCTGGGGGGCTGTGGGTGCCCCGACCCACTCCCACCCAGCCCCCTAGACTTTGCCACAGCAGGGCAGGGAGCGGGAGGCACAAAAAAGACCATGAACACGTGGCTCTGGGAGGTTGGGGTGGCATTCCTGGGAGCTCAGTTTTGCAGATTGTCCCCTCTGGATTGATAAGCGGCAGTTCCAGAAGGAAGAAAGAGCTCTTGCCTGCCCCCTTCTGGGAAGGTGGAGGTCACAGATCACAGCCAAGTTGGCTTCAGACTTCTCCTGGCTCCTGGGCCTGGTCCAGAGCTGGAGGGTTTCAATACCAGGTGGGTGCAGGGGTCCTTGCTTTCAGCAGCTCTAGAAAGGCCACCACGCTGTCTCTGGGAGCCCCTGGGGCTGCTGATCCGAGGGTACTTTGCTCACGGCCAACAGATGGCTCTCCCATGGTTTTGTGCCCCAACTACCAGAAAGCCCTACTTCCGGGCCAGGCACAAGGGACCCAGCCTGGCTGCTGGGCTCCCGATCGATCAATTGATTGGGAAGCATAGGCAGAAATGGGCTGTGCTTGGCAGCAATGGTAATGGCACCGGCCACCAGGGGGCGACAGGCCTCTGCAGGTAGCCACCGGGGCTGCGCTCAGGTCTAGGGGTCTTCTACAAGCAGGGCTCATGTCAGGGCCCCTCTGCAGCTGGGGGTCCCAGGGTCACCTGAGCTCCCTCCTGCTCTGAACCCAACTGGCTGCTACAGGAAATTGAGCCTGGGTTTGGGTATTTCTCTTCTAGTAGGTGATTCTATTTACAAAGCAGTGGAAATGTCACCTCCAGGTCTTTAAGTTAGGAAAACCACTAGAACGTCTCATCTCCTTTTCTACAAAGTGTCTTGTAGTGCAGTTCGGGAGGGTCAGTTCTGGGGGAGAAGTGAAGGAAAAGTTAAGAAGAGAACCGCAGAAGGGGGGAAGAGGCCAGGTGGGTGCACAGGTGGGCGCAGGGCAGCCTCAGGCGAGCGGGGCGCCCTGGGACATCTCCGTCAGGATGTCGATGAGGTTGTTCAGCCCCGAGAGGTAGCCGTCCTCCCGGTTCCCCTCCTGCCAGGGGACATCATGCTGCAGGGTCTGACCCTCGGGCAGGGGCGTGGTTTTCCCAAAGTCAATCATCCACACCTTGGCCTGTTCCTTCTTGTCGTGGACGAAGAGGAGGGAGCTGCCGATGACCTGCAGGGGGACAGGGGACTGAGGAGGAGGCTGGAGCAACCGGCCCCTGAGCCAAGAGCCCACGACTCCACACCCCATTCTTGGCTGGGCAGCGGAGTGGCCCAAGTGGCCACACTGGAGACAGAGGATGTGGGGCCACTCTCCTGCATGGGCTGTGGCAGGGAGGAAGTCTGGGATGGCAGGCCCACCCCCACCTCCAGCCTGCACACTTTGCAGCATTTCTAGACCACAGCTAAACCCTGGGGCCTCACCTTCCCCTCCTAGACCCTGACGCCTGCCAAACACCCTGAGTGATTGCTGGGTGAAAGTCCCATCCCCCCAGCAGCACAGCCCTTGTAGATTCTGGGCAAACAGGCCCCCGCCCAGAGTTCCCCCCAGGGACAGTGGGCACCAAAAAGTCCCCCACTCCTGGGCAAGGTCAGAGCGTTTGCGTGGAGTAAAGCGCTTCCCCAAATATGACCACCTCCACCAAACACTCCCCCGGGTCACTTGAGTGGGGCCAGAAGTTGGCAAGGGGGTGGCCGGAGGGACTGAGGTGATGTTACACTCCCAGGGCCTGGGAAGGACAGTGCTGAGCCCGGAGAAGGGGCCTCCTCTGCCCAGGTGGAAAAATATCAAGCGCCAGCTGACCTGGCCTCTTTCTAGACCTGAAGTTTCCAGGGAGACTCCAGAAAGAGTAGAGTAAAACATATTTCAAGAAATAAAAGTGGAGGTGCTGGGGAAGGGAGGGAAAGCTTGGAGACCAAGCCTGGGGCACCAGAGGTGGTCGCAGGCAGCAGCCAGATCCTTCTGCGGGGGTTCAGCCCCTAGCGTGGGGCAGCCAGGCAGCCCCTGTCTCCTAGAGGAAGGAGGCAGGCGGGAGCAGAGGCTCTAGCAGGCTGCAAAAAGACCCTCCATCAGGCTGGGAATACAGAGGCCCCAGGAGGAGCCAAGGGTCTGGGAGCCCAGGGGGAAAGGGCATTCTGAGAACGGCTGCACCAAACCACCTGCTCCCGGCAGTCTGCCCTCTGGGTGCCCCACCCTCTCCTTACGGTGGTCCCATCTGGGCACCAGGTCAGGGCCACCTCATATAGTGGGATAGGTGTATCCTGGCCAAGGGGCAACTAGGGAATGAAATCTCTGCCTGGAGAAGGGCCGATCCCACCAGGTGCCCAGGGACCATCTGTCCTGAGCTCCTGCTGCTGGACAGGTGTGTGTATGTGTGAGTGTGTTTGTGTGTACATGTGTGTGTGCCTGCGTGTATGACCTGTGGGTATGTATGTGAATGTGTGAATCTGTGTTCATGTGTATATGTGCGATTTTTGAGTGTGTGAATGTACTCTGAATGTGTATGTGTATATACGGGTATATGCATGCGATTTGTGTCTGTGATTTGTGTATGTGTGCACAAGATTTGTGAGTGCATGTGTGAATGTGTATTTGCACGTGTGTGATTTGTGAGTGTGTGGTGTGTGTGTAGTGCATACACGGGGCTGGGGGCCCTGGACTCCCCCATATCAAAGTCTTATAAACCCCTGCAGGGAAACTGCTGGTGATTCCCTCTCTCCGGTGTCTGCTGCCTCCTGCTCCTGCAGACCAGCATCTGCAAAGGCAGGAGCAGGTGGAAAGTTCCAGCCCTGCTCCGAGAGCGGCACCTGAAGACTGGGCTGCCCTCCCCAGGGTCTTCTCTGAAGATCTCGGGGTGGTGGTAGGGGATTACCTGGCTACCCTAGCAGCTCACAGGGCTACTGCCCTACAACCCTTAGGGTGTGTGGGACAGAAGTCCTGCAACCGCTGATGACAGTGGGCGAGCCTCAGGAGCTGGGAGGGACAGAGAAAAAAAAGGAGGCCACGGATCTTGGGCAGGACAACCCACGCAGTCACCCCAGGAAATGCACGGCCACATTAAAACGTGGGTCCCTCATGCAGTGAGGCTGATCTTTGGTGGCTTCCTCTGGCTGCAGCCATCCTACAGACAGCCCTCAGGTGACCAGAACGAGGGGTCTGTTAGCGTGCACGGCTCTCTGCCCAAGCTGGCAAAGCCCAGTACCTACCTCGTGGCACTTGAAGAAGGGAGAAACCTCTAGGGTGGCTCGAATGGCTTCCAGACGGTCCCGGTAGGCGATCTGGGGACAGAAAGATGAGCAGATTTTTTAAACACTGGGGGAGGGTTGGGGTGGGGGTGGAGTTGAAGCCCCTTTTAGCTCATTAGAGTCACTGAACTTCAGGAATGGGAGTGACCTGACACCCCGGTCACTTACTCCTACCTCCTCATCTACAAATAAAGAAACTGAAGCCCAGAGAAGGTGGGGAGCTGGGTCCTGGTTCCACCCTTTCTCCACCCCACGCTGTCCTGTGATGGGGAGGTGCAGTTCCAGGACAGCCCTGCAGGCCTCCAGGGGCTCCTCCCATGAGGGCTCAGTTTACCCTGGAATGCCAGCGCTTCAGAGGCAGCGCCCTAAGAGCCGGGGTGACAGGGTGTCTTTCTGAACACAAACTTCAGTGCTCCTGACTGTCGCCAGGACAGAGGGAGTGGGAGACCCATGATGTCTCTGCCATTGGGCTCTCCACAGAGCCCTACAAACTCCACTAGAGCTGTGCTGGCACCTGGAGGTGCCTGTCCTTCCAAGGGGCCAGCTCTGTGGGTCTTATAACCTGGAGCCACAGAGCCCCCGGGGAAGCCCGTCGCACACGGGCACACAGGGTTCCTCAATGCCCATCGAGTAGCAGTGGCGCAGCCTGGCAGGGCTGGTCGGCTCCAGGAATAAATCCCTCAGAAGTGCATTCTGTGGCAGGCATCTCAGACGGCCTGACATCCTCCCCAGCAGGCGACCCAGGAACCAGAGGGCTTGGGCTCCAGAAGAGCAGGTACATTCCCAATGCCTGCAGCCTCGGAGATTGCCAGGGGCCCAAGCCGGAAAGGGAAGGGAGGGAGATTTCCTAGTCGCAGCTGGTACTGAATCTCCCTGGAGAAAAGGCTGCCTGGACCCACCCCTCCCTGCTCAGGAGCACCCAGGGCCTGTTCAGAAGGTGCCTCTCAGGGGGGCTCCAAAGCCATGTCCCAGGTGTGCTTGGATCTCTGCCACAGGGCACCTTGCGCCTGGGATACAGCAGCATTACACACCCTGACTCAGCTGGGAGGGTCAGAGGTCAGAGTCCTGACCCCAGCAGGCACAGCATGTGTCCCAGCCTGCCAGCAGCCAACACAAAGGAAATCACGTTGTCACAAACTTACACCCCCCAAGCCCCAGGCTCAAAGAGAACAACCACTTCTTGCTGGGAGGGCAGCGCGACCCCTGGCTGTGCATTCATCCTCACTGCCTGGGTAGAAGCCTGGCCAGGCCCGCGGGCATTGGGGAGCACAGGAAACAGCAGGCTGCTGGCTGCGCCGGGCAGGGACCCCAGAGCCCACTTGGTCTCTGTGTCAGGCAGAATCCCAGCTCCACCTTTTCCTAGTTGTGTGTCCTTGACCTCTCAGTTTCCTCATCTGTGAAATGGGGACAAGAATGTCTACCCACACCAGAGGGCTGCTGTGTGCATTTGACGAGCACTGTGCATAATCTCCAGCAACAGATGGTGCTTAAGAAATCAGCAATGATCACTCCTTAAGGACATGGAAAATGTTTTCTGGAACTGTGAGGTCGGTGGATAAGGGGGGTCGGTGAGTGTTCACAGAATTTTCCCTCCTACCCACCCAACATCGGGGGCGACCACATCACCTTCCAAGCAGAAGTCTGGGGCCAGGGCTTTCTGCCTGGCCCGGCTCAGGCAGGTGTGGTTATCCCTGTCCGGCCACCCACGGGACAGACCCCTTCTCAGGAGGCTGCTGACTCACCAGGATGTTTTGGTTTCCTTTAGTGAACTCTCTAAAGGCCTCGGTCACCTGCTCCCTCGTTTTGGTCTTCTTGAAGTCCCGGTTCACAGAGCCGTCTTCTTTCTGAGCAGAATGACACCCACCCAAGATGGGGTCAGCAGGGGGCCCGAGGACAGGGACTGCTGGTGAGCCCTTCCTGGCCCCCAAGCTGCTCCCAGGGCCAGTCGAGGTAGCCGGGTGCCCACAGATGACACAGACCAGCCCACGGGAACTGGTCCCGTGCCCGGATGGGGGAGAACACAGAGGGTGGCAGTGGCGTCCCAGGCAGAGAAATTGCATTAGGAAAGGCCTGGAGGTGTGATGTGTGGGGTGTCTGGGCCAAGGACAGAGGAGAGTGGCCCGGGAGCAGCCCCGTCCCGAGTGCAAGCAGCAGGACCTGGGGACGGGGTGGCCTCGGCTCCCCACTAGCGAGCCTGGCCCCTGGAACTGGTGGCTGGAGGTCCCCGCTGTCCAAAGGCGTCTTTCCTCAGTCTCCCTGGGCATAGACAGGAGAGAAGTGCTCCGTACTCCACTCTTATAACTTGAGACCTGTCATCATAGGTCCCCTGACAGCCAAGATCTAGCACCAGCCCTGCCATCTCTGCTCTCTGGTCCACCTGCTCGATGGGCTGTTCCTACCGCTGGACAGTGGACGGACACTGAGTGCATCCTGCTTGAGCAAACGGCAAAGGGAAGGTGGAAGAAAGGAAAGCGAGTGTTTAGATGAGTTGCAGCAGCGCAGGATTTGCACCCAGTCTGAGCGCTGGATGCAACACAGAGAGAAAGGCTGGTTTCCAAAGACAAGGAAGGGACAAATGGCTTTCTCAGCCCTGAGCTTGCAAAGCAGCTGCCCTGGGGGACGCGAAAACATTCTCCCACACACTGGGCAGCGAGACAGTGGCAGCTGAAGAAACGGGCACCTCAATGCCATCTGGGCAGAGGCTGCTGGGTCCTCTGCGCTGCAGTTTGCTCCTGAGTCGGGATTCTCAGCACCCAACCCCAGCTCCAGAGCAGGACACTGGAGATGATGTGGCCAGGACTGGACAGAGCAAGGGAGGCCCCATGCTTGCAGGGAGTGCCACCTGCTCTGGAGGGGCCTGCCCTCAGAGGCTGTTCCTGCAAACCCAGCAGCAAGGGGCCTGTGCAGGAGCCTGGGGACAGGGAGAGCACTCACACCTTCTCAGGAGACTGCAGAGAAAAGTAGCCAAAGGCAGCCTGCATGGCCCCCTTGCCCACACCCGCTGCCAGCCCTTGGTTTGTGGGCGATGGGCAGAACAAGCCTGCTCCCCCGGCGGGCATCCTGCAAGCCAGCTCCTGTCTGGGCTTCTCAGTGTCAGGCCCGGGGCTGCCTTAGGTCCTCGGCAGAAGGCTGACGGCTGGGCTGGGCTAGAAGCCACCCCTGCTCCAAGGCCCGAGACCTCTGTGTGACCATCCCACCTGCACCTCAGACTGAGGGACAGGCCAGTGTCTCCAAATGTCTGTCCCTAGGGCTGGCTGCCCACACACTGGGCCTGTGCCTGGAGAAGTTCACAGTCCCTGAAGGGTCCCGAGAGCAGCCAGGGTCACTAGGGTGGATGCTGGTGTGGCCCCAGCTCTCTATCACCCCACCACCAGGGGCCTCACCTTGATACCCTCAATCCTGAACCCGAGGGTGGCCGTGGAGCTGATGGTCTCCCTCCACTGCATGTACCGCGGCTTGGTCACAGCCCGCTGGGCTTTCTCCTCCTCGGTCGGGGCTTCGGGGTCCACCTCAATCATCTTCTGGTACATGTCCTTCCGCAAACTGGGCTTCTTCCGGGCCTTGGTGAGCTCCTCCTCCAGGTAGGTCCTGCATGGACAGGGGGCGACATGAGGGTGAGGGTTGCTCATGGCTCACAGCAGTCCCCATCACCCCATCAGAGCAGGTCATGCCTGGCCCCAGGGCCAAAGTCAGCTTAGTGCCCGCCCAAATCAAGGCAGGCTCATCTAGGATGGTGACACACTCTGCTCGGGCTGGACCACCTCCTGATCCCAGGAGGAGAGGGGTGGCCTCCCTGGATCAGAGCACCTGTATCCCAAGACCACCCAAATCCGGGTAACTGAAACCCAAGTTCTCCTAGGGAGACCCCCACAGGGGCCAGTGGAAGGAAGGGGCCTCCTGCTACAGTGAGCCTGGGAGGGGGACAGAGGGCTGCCTGGGACCCGTCCGTGAAGCGAGTGCTTCTGCAGCTGGCACCTGTCTTGGGTGGGAGCTCACTCTGTCCTCCCGACCCCCTGCCCTGTCTCCCCAGTTCTCAGGCAACCTGGAGGCTGAGCCTGCCCTGAAGTGTCTCCAGCTCTTTCCAACGAGGAGACGTCATGAGCACAAAGGACAGTCCAGAAGGTGGCCCACGAAGGGGAGGACAAGCCTGGGAGCTCCACAGACTCTACTCTAACCCAGAGACATGCTTGGCTCAGCCCACCCCAGTGACACCAGGCCCCCTCATGCCGGAGACCCCAGCCCAAAAGCCTGAGAAAATGCGTCCCACTAAACCACTGCCCTGTCCTCTGCAAGAGCAGGCAGGATCCACTGGCTGAACTGACGGGGACCACATAGAAGCTGGTGGAGGACCACCAGCAGGGACAGGACAGGATGAGCAGCCCAGAGCTGAATCGCTGGCCCTGTGCTGCCAGGATGCGCCCCTTCCCCAGCACACCCCCCACCACCTCCAAACTGGGGGGGAGTCACCCCTCCCCCACTCCCCCCCCTTTTTATAAAAACGTAATGGCCCTTTACCAATTTCTTGCTAACGTCCCTCCCCCTACCCCTCTCACCTCTGGTGGCCTCAGTTCTGTTCTCTCCTTTTGTTTCAACAAATTATTGTGATTGTTGTATCTTTCTTTTTTTACTTGTTTATTTTTTCAGCCCCCACTTATGAGGGCCTGTGGTATTTCTCTTTCTGTGCCTGGTTTATTTCTCTTAATAATAATTTGCTGTGAATGCCGTGTTCTTCTTTAAATGCCCCTTCCCGCACCATGAGAGGCTCATTCTGCCCACAGCCCTGCAGGAGCCAGAGATCAGCAGTGCCAGTTGCAGGAAGTGGAAGTTTCCTCCCCCCTTTGCCCTGCATGGTGGCAGCTGCCCAGAGGCCCGGATGCTGGCCCTGCCCTCCCCTTTGAGCCCCCTACTCTCCCTGTCTGTCCTGGAGGCCTTGCTCCAACACTTCCCACCACACCTGCTCCAAGCTGCTGGTTTGGGACCCAGAACAGACTGAATTTTAAAAATTCACGATGTTTTAAAAATGACAGGTTTTCAGAAACCACTGTACCAACTGACATTTGCACTGAAATAAAAGGGAAGAAAACAAATCCTTTGGGTGGGAACTTAGGCCTGGTCGTTTAGGACCTTCCAGGAGGGGAGGGAGACTGTAAGGGGGACAATAGCTTCCTGTTGGGCACTTGCATGCTGGCACAAGCATGCATGCACACACACGTGCACTCATGCACACACGCGCACACATGCACATGCATGCACACGCCACATCACACCAGTGTGCACGCAGAGCCAGGGCACATGCTGTGTGCACATCTGCGGCTGTCCTGTGCACTGGAGGAAGGGCCTCCCTCACAAAGGCTCCCGAGAGTGTGCTGCAGGGACCTGCAGGGCGGGTGGGCGGCCACACTTCTGCAAAGAGCTCTCAGCAGCTCCCCAAACATGAAGCGGACCTCAATGGCAAATCCCTTTTCACGTGGGCCCTTCTCCAAAATGGGCCCCTGCAGCTCAACCTGGGCCAAGTCGCCCAGGAAAGGAAAAGAGCTGGGGAGAGATGTCCACAAGGTCCCCAGCTAGATGGGGGGTGGGGGGCGGGGGCCCAGGGTAGGGGAGCCACAGAGGGACGGTCAAAGCTCCATCCCATACAGGAGAACAGAGACCTGCTGGCCCAGTCGCTGGATGCTGGAAGAAGAGGTGACCGGGTGCAGAAAGTGCTCCTCTTGGAGGGCAGCAAGCCCACGGAGAGCCAACAGGTGGCAGGCCCAAGCCACCAACAGCTTCTGCAGGGAGGAGGTGCTAAAGGCCAGCTCCAGCCTCCACTGGCCCCTGGTCCACATGTCAGGAAGACAAGTGTGGCAAGTCACAAATCTAGAACACGCCCCAGAGCAAATGAGCACATGTCCACATGGAGATGGGGTCCCAAAAAGCCCTTAGTTTAAGACTTCCAGTGCCTGCACAGTCTTGTCCTCAGCGCCACCCCTCCACCCCACCAGAGCCCTTCCATTTCTGTGACATGTCTCAATCCCTTGTGCCCCAGGACACTACTGGAGGTGGCCCTGGGCTCTAGCCTCCTTCCTCTGGCAAGGACGGGCCACTCTCTGCGGTGATCATGGACTGCTGGTCTTGGGGGAAGCTCTGAGGCCAAGAGTTCTGGATCAAAACATCTGGGAGAAGGCCACAGTCCACAGCCCGAACACAACTGCCTGGCACGCTAGGGAGACACCGCGGAAGCTGGGTCCCACAGGGCCTCCAGGAAGGGCTGGCCTGCAGCCGAGGGCCTGGTGCACATCTGCATGTGCTGCTGCCTGGCCCTGATGGTCACTTGACCTCTGGCTGCCAGATCCTCCTGCTCAAACTGGAACATACCCCAAATCCCAGGGGAGCTGTGGGAAAGCAGTGGGGTAAGCTAGCGGGAGCACTGAGCACAGCACCGCGAGTGCAGGAGGGTCGCTGGGACTCGTGTGCAGGGGAGATCGGGCTAGGGTGGGCACTGGCTCTGGGGGGACCTCCCTCCTCCCTGCACATATACTCTCTCCCCCCACTCCCCCCACCCCCAGGCCCCTGCTCAGGATGGGGGGAAGGTGCCCCAACCTCCCTGGTCCCTCTAGGTCCCTCCCGAGGGCCCTAGGGTGCAGTGAGCAAGAAGCTGCGGGATTTGGGGTGGAAGAGGGGGACAGGCTGGCCCTGGCTCAGTCTGCAGCAGAGCATCCGGGGCCGCTGATTTCCAGGAATGGTTCGGCCAGGGTCCAGTCGAATGGAATATTTTCCATTCATTCCTGCTGCAACTTGAGCCCCCACCCCTGAAGGCAGGCTCAGCCCTGCTTCTGTTTGGGTTGGAAGGAAGGGCCATGCCTCCTCCTGAGAGAGCACATCCTGGCACGCCAGGGGAGGGTCTTCCGGGGACAGAAGTAAGGCTGTGGGGAAGGGCCACGGCCACGTGGTGGCTGGGGCATGTCTATCTCCTCCCTGCCCCACCCCAGCTCCCTGTAGGCTGGGGACAGTGAGGGCCTTGGATGGCAAGAGGGGGGTAGCCAGGGACGGTGCAAAAGCCAGCAATGGCACCTGCACTTCTTGTCCCCCTCCCTGCCCTGAGGTCCAACCTGCAGGACAAGCGGCAGGATCAGGGTGGGGTGTGACTTCAGGATAGAACTCCCAGGAGGAGAAAAGAAAATTGGGTCGTTAGCCCACTTCTCTCCTGGCCTCTCTCTGTCTCTCTCTTGCACACGCGTGCACGTACATACACGCGTGCACACACGCGCACACACGCACGCACGCGCACGCGTGCACACACACACAGACACATGCACACACACACATGCACACACATGCACGTGTACACGCACATGCACACGCACACACGCACATGCACAGATACATGCACACACACGCACACACACGTGCACACACACACGCACACACGCACGCACACACACACGCACACATGCACACACACACATGCACACACACACGCACACATGCACACACACACATGCACACACACACATGCACATGCACACACACATGCACACCCCTCTTTCTCAATCTCCTCTTCTAAGAAGTAAACCAGCTAAACCATTCCAAGCAGACCCAGCGTCCACTCTGAGCACCGGCAGCCCGAGCTCTGGCCTCTGGCCTGCGCATCTGCAGCCAAGCCAGGCTCCCAGGGTGGGCATCGCTGGACCCGCGTGGGCGACAGCCTCAGCCAGGTCTCGCCAGCCCTCCTCCTCCACGAGACAGGGAGCCATGTGGGCAACTCTTGGGATGGAAGGACCGAAGTTCAAGAGGGGATGAGAAAACCCCGCAGCCAACACAGGGGCCCGTGCTCCGGGCGGCCGGGTCTCAGGCCCTCCGTCCCTGTCCTGTCTCCTCCTGCCCACCCTTCCATTTCCCACATCCCTCCAGGTCCTCCCCAGGCTCACTTCTCTGGGCGGACGTCAGGGTGAGCCTGTGCCTTGAGCCAGGAACGTGGGCTGGGGGCCGATTCTGCACCCTGGGGCCCCTGGAGCACCCATCGGGCCTCTGGAGCTCCTGGGCTTGCTCCTCATGACTCTTACGACAGGCACAGTCTTTTCTTTGCAAACCAGCATGTTCTGCCAGCCAGCCCTCTTCCCACTCACTGGCACTGGGGTAGTAAGTCCCCTACTCCCGTGACCCTCTTGCAGCTCGCGTGTCGCAAGTCACCGCCATGCTTTCTCACTCCCTGCCACTCCCCTGCGATCCCACCTGACCCTGATGGCAGCTCTCTCTGCCCTCTTTCTGGGCAGGCTGGGGACCCAACCAGGGTTCCCTTTTCTGGCTCCACCAGCTATTGGCACCTGCCTCCCCCAGCTCACCAGAGAAGGGAAGGGGCAAAGCCAGGGTCCCTGTGCACATAGCAGGAGGTGGCCAGGGGCGGGGTGGGCTCTGGCTGGGAAGTCCTGAGTGTCCTCTGGGTGTCTGGTCTGGGCTCCGAGGGGCCCGGCTCACCTGATGCCCATCTTGCAGTCCATCACGCAGGGCGAGTCGAAGTCGGCCAGCAGGTCGTCCATCTGGTTGTAACGCTCCCCGTCCTTCACCACGTCCCCGTGGTAGGCGGGCACGAAGGGCCTCAGCACGTCGGCCATCAGCCGGTCCAGGCAGCGCTGCTCCGACTCACAGTGCTTCTTCAGGATCCTGCCGTTGGCGGCCGCCTTGAAACTCCCTGCGGAGACAGTGGGAGGAGGCCCTTGGTCCCAGCCGTGGTGGGTCCGCAGAGGCACCCTCCCCCTCTGACACCCCTGACAGCCCCCTCCAGCACAGTGCCTGGGCCTCCCTGGGGATGCTGCAGCGCTGGCTAAGCCTGGGCTGAAGGTGTCCCCAAGTCCCCCCAGCGGTGGGGTGAGCATTTCAAGAGGACTAGGTTCAAGCCCCAGTCCCCCACTCACTGACTGTAACTCTGGGTTAGTCCCCCACCTTTCTTGGCCCCCGGCCCCTCATCTGAAGGTGCGGACACAGCAGCGCTCACCACCGATGGGGTAGCAGGGCTGTGTGCGGGATCTAAGCACCAAGACCTGGTCACTTCTTAGCTCCAACCATCATCCCACCCCCGCCACCAAGCCTGCTTCTCAGGCAATGAAGGTGTCTCCTGGTCTCAGTAGAGAAGCCCTGACAGGGGAGACAGAGTGGGCTAGAACTAGGGGCCCAAGGCCCGGCCCACCTGGGTGGCACTCCATCTGAGCCACACCATCAAGTAATATTAACAAAGAGTGTCCATCCACGTGCCTCAGGCTGGGCCACTGTGCTCAGGGATATAAAAGAAATGTGGCATTCTGTGCTCGCCTGAAAAGAACCCACACGCCAGTGAAGTCATGAAAGCCAAGTCCACGGTCTATCCCTGAAATGTCTCAGGAGAACAATATGTGCCAAAGGGTCCCCACATGTGGACTGGATGAAGCTGGGGCTTTGGCTCCAAGATGTCCCTCCTCCCCTGTCACTGATGGGGTGAACTGGAGACCACGCCCTAACCCAGCTCCCTAGCCACTGCCACCCAGCACTGGCACACGGTCTTGCAGTTGTGGGTGACCTGCCTGCATCTTCCACCAGCTACAAGCTCCTTCAGGGAAGAGCTTAACCTTTAAAGTTGTCACTCCTAGGACGGTGGCAATGCAGGCATACAGTGGGCACTCAATGATGCGGTTAGCTTTGCCTCTCTGTCCAGAGTGACAAATGGCAGACAAGCTAAAAGACTGATGACTTCATCTGTTTTGCTAAATAAAATTGGAAGAGAAATTGGGAAAAGAGACAGAGACGTGGGTGTTGAGGGGAGGGGACGGCACAGACCCTAGAGAGGACAGTTCTCCGTGGTGCTGACGAGGCAGTGTCAAGGCCACATCTTACAACTGTGGCTACAACTTCAGACTAGAAAGTCTTTCAGAGCGAACCTATTCTGGATGCTTCCGTCCCCGGCAGCACCCAGGGCCAGGCCTCCCCTCCACATTTTCTGGGCACCTCCCCAGAGAGCCGATCACCCCGCCGGAGAGTCCAGGACAGCCGCGTCTACCTGCGTGTCCCGCCAGCTGGATCCAGGGGTACTTCTTCTTGAAGGACATGACGAAGGGAGACCAGTGCACCATGTTTTTTATTTTCCTCCATGATTTGCTCTAGAAACAAGCAAACAGAAAGTTCTGCATTAGAAAGACAACCGTGACTTTCTGGTGAGGACAAATTCAAAGCAAGGAGCTCACTGCCTGTGGCTGCAAGATGACAGGAGCCACGCCCACAGCACGGCGCCCAGGTGGACTCCCAGGACCACGTGGCCATCATCCAGGCGGTGCAGTCGGAGGTGGCTTTGCCCCATTTTACAGAAACGCTCAAGGGACCTTTGGGCAAGGGTCTGAAGGTCAGGGGTGAGAGGAGGGGAGGTCAGAGTACCCTCAATCCAGTGCCCAGGCCACTTCCCCATCAGAGAACCACTACACCCACGCTGCCCTTTTTCATGCCCCTTCTTGGGGCCTCAGTTTCCCCTGTCTAGTGAGGAACAGACAGCTGGTCCACCAGGCCCCTTGGACTGATGGACACTCTGGAAAATGACTTCCCTCATCCCAAGAGCAATGTCCTCCTCTCCGTGGAAAGCTGAGGGCCACCATCACCCAGCTGCCACGTGTCATCTCACATGGTACTTGCAGATGCGGTGGCAACAGAGGCCGCTTTTGCCAGCAAGTGGTTTGGGGACAGATTTTCAAGGGAGTCCCCAGGACAGCATCTCCCCACACAGCATCCATGCACACAGCGGGAGCAGTCCCCTCTTCACGTACGGCTCCTTCCTGGGACATTTCTTAAGGACAAACAGCCAGGTCCACCAGTGCATGTGCGCACACGTGCGTGCGTGTGTATCTGGGGAGGAAGGGCCCTCTGGGCAGAAAGGAGAGCTAAGATTGATCGAGCATCTTATTTTATTTCCACAACAAGCATTCAAGGCAGTTATTACTATTTCTGTTGGTAGAGCCTGAGCCTCAGAGAATTCAGTGATAAAGCTGGGATTTAAACCCTCATCTATACAACTACTTAAAAAAAAAATGTTTTTTTTCCCCCCAGCAAGAAACATTTCTCTAGTTAACTTTAATAAGAATGGGCTGTACAGAGGACAGCAAAGGCCACAAGCTCTGAGCTGCAGGGGGTAGAAGCAGCCAGGAGTCCTGCAGACAAGGGAGCTGGGGGTGGGCCCTGAAGATTCGGGTCCCCGCTCCCTGCCCCGAAGTGCCCCGTGAGACAGAGGGGACTGTCGATCCCAAGGTGAAATCAAGGTCAAATCAGCCTCCTTTGCTTTTTTTCTCTCTTTGCTGAGACTCAGCTGCTTCTATCATCAAGTTACAAGTTAAAATCTGTTTAAGGAGAGAAATTTTTCTCTACTGAACCTGGCCATTTTTATCCCATCCAGAAACCCAAACGCCGAAAAGAATTCTATCCTTAAGCTGGGGGTCAGCGCTGCGAGGCCATGTGACCCAGGGGCAGGGCTTTTACTGACAAGGGTGTTTTTCCTAGATCCTTCTGATGGAGACCGCCCAAGAAGCCTGAGGACGGAGAGCAGTTCTTATCTAAGCACGCAGAAGGCCGCATAAACAATCAGGTAGACAATGCACTGGGGCACCAGTGGAAAACCTGACCCATGAGATGCACCAGCAGGGGCTTGTCGGCTCCTGGGGAAGCCATGAAGGTAGGTCCAGAGGAAAAGTGCAAGGCCGGTCTCCACCTGCTGGTCCCACGCCAGCAAGGGCTCGAGGGGCAGGAGGCTCTGACAGGTCAGGGGTGGGAGGAAGGGGAGGTGAGAGTGCCCTCAATCCAGTGCCCAGGCCACTTTCCCATCAGAGAACAACTACACCCACGGTGCCCTTCTTCACGCCCCCTCTCGGGGCCTCAGTTTCCCCTGTCTAGTGAGAGACAGACATCTGGTCCACCAGGCCCCTTGGACTGAAGGACACTGTAGGACTCTGGAAAACGACCTCCCTAATCCCAAAAGCAATCCCTCTTCCCTCTGAGGAAGGCTGGCAAAAGGGCCACCATCACCCAGCTGCCATGTGTCATTTCACATTGTACTTACAGACTCGGTGACAAATGAGCACTCATGGAGGAATGGTCCCCCAACTCTGGAGAGGCCATGCAAAGACGGATGATGGCTGGGAAGGAAGGAGCTTCTGGGGCTGCACCTACCAGAGGCAGTTTGGGGACAGACTCGAGGGAGAGAAAGAGAAGACTACAGCAGGCAGGGGGCTGTGGGAACAAAGACCCAGGGACGGGGACCCAGATCTGCGAGGCCGAGGGTGAGTGGGCGAGGCCAGCAGCGGACAGAGGCCCAGCAGCCTGGACTTGGACTGTGTGGTGCAGGAGGCAGGACAACCGGCCCCTCCTGGCTCACTGGCTTTGAACGAGTTCCTGACCCACTCTGGGACCCCATTTTCTGATCTGTAAAATGGGAATAACACATCGATTCCCCTTCTCCCAGGAGATGAAGCTATTAGACCACGGGCAGAGTTTGTGGAAGAGTCCTGAGCTTTCCGTGCTCAAGAAGGGGACGCAAGTGTGTCTGGAGTTGCCCTGGAATGGCCAGTCAGTGGTGCGCAATGAAGACCATGGCCCCGTGGGCTGGGTCAGCTCTCCAGGGGCCCACAAAGACACAAGGGGCAGGGGGCTGTGACACTGGGGTGGCAGAGAACAGATGCTGGGCGAGGCAGCATGGCACGGGCCCAGCAGGGGCATTCCTGGACTGCTCTTCAGAGGTGAAAGACCAGGTATCCAGACAGGACGGGTGCTCCAGGGTGGGGGTCCGCTGTCAGTTCAAGGGATCCCAGAGCCTCTGCACATCTCTGAGCTCTGACGAAATGGGACACTTTTCGGTTTGTTTTCCCTTTTCCAGCACCTCCTCCATTAAAAAGCATTTCTCTACCATAAAAATGGGCCCCCTTGTGGCCAAGACCACAGAGTCCTCCCACCCCAAGGCTGCCCTGCCTGCACGAGGGCTGTGGAATATTCCACTTGCAAGGAATATTCTGCTGGCAGAGGCAGGCAGGGGTTTTCCCTGTGGTTTTAAATAGCAGCACCCAGACAGTGCCAAGCGTCACTGCCAAAAATTACACAGAAAAGGCACTTTGCAGGTCCAGGCTGGGAAGAGGGGGCTGCAGGTTGACCCCCATCCTCCTCCCCAGCCCACAGAGCAGACAATAAAAGGGCAGGAGGGGATCACAGAGACTCAATTCCCTTATGATGGTCCGGGAGACCGCAGCATCCACCTCAGGAACCGAACCTACTCCAGGCAGAAGCTGCTTTCCAGGAGTGTCGAGGGCAGGGTCAGCTATGGGTCTTCCCTGCAAGCACTTCCAGGCCTCTTCCCCCACCTAGGACAGGTAGCCCGATACCCCGACAACCTGGAGAATCCCAGCCAGAGGAATATATCACTCTCAGCTCTGGCCCTGTCCCAGGGGGATTCTCCAGGCGGAATTCTCAATGGCAGCCTGTCCCTTCTCTGTCGAAATCAGGCCACGGCCCCAGGTCTCCAACATCTCAAGCTGAGCTTTGGGAAGTACAAAAGCAGCCTTCAAATGCCTTGAACCTGGTGTGGCAGGGGGCGCCTGGTCCCCTCCTCCCCAGGGGGCAGAGCTGGCTGCCTCCTGATTTCACCGGCCCTGCAAATCTACCGCCTCCTGATCATCAGGGACATCATCTACGGACCCTTCCTGGAGTGTCCCCAAAGTTCCACATGCTTGACGGTCCTCGCTGGCCTTTCGGCTGGAAGTCCACCTGTGGGAAGCTGAGGTGGTCACTAGTAGCGCTGTGACACTTGGCTTGCCTATGTGCAGACCTGGGGCCCAGCCTCGCTGGTGAATAAGCTCAGTATTACAGCGCAGGGGGACTTGCTGATGGCTGACATAGCTGTTGTCACCTCACTGGAGGGCTAATTTCCATAGATGTGCAAACACACATGCCAGCCCTGCTGCCAGCTCCGGGCCTGGTGTATGCATTCCTGGTGCATGCATTTCATGCACAGAGCTCTTGCCGTGGGACGTGCATGGTGCCAGGCATTTTACAGCCTTGCTCTGTCTAATCTTCATCACAACCCAGTGACGGACAGGAGTATTTTCTCCACTTTACAGATGGAGACTCCGAGGCTCAACAAGCTACTTCCCCAAAGCCATTCTGTGCCCCTGCCAGTAGGTACCGGCTCACACCAGGAACCTCAAAACCAATTCACTAGCTTCTGTGCCTACCAGCCAGCGAGGACCCCCTCCATGAGGGCTCTTTCCAGCCTTGAGACGGCAGATGAGGGGACGGGAGACAGAGATCGTGCAGGGGACAAGAGGCGTTTTCTCTGAGACGGTTCCCCCAGGCAGCCAGGGTGCTGGCTCAGGAGTAACTTTCTGGCTGCTCCTTTAGTCAGATCAGAGCAGCTAAATGTTCCTAGACTCTGGGGATGGAATGCTGCACTTGTGATGTCCTTGGGAACGCTTCAACAAAAAGGAAAGCTCCCGAAGCTGGGGAAGCCGCCTAGCAGGGAATGGGCTGCGGTGTGGGCTGCGGGCACGTGGCACGGACTTGGATTCTGCACCAGGTGGTTAAACCGACTGCAGACCAGGCATATGGTCTTTCAGGTACCCCCTTGGATTTGGGGGCTTGGATGAGAACCAGCTAGACAGATCCCTAGGCTACTGCACTCCTGGGTCAAATCAGCACTGGTCTGTGGCAGGCGGTGACCTTTTCTGACATCTGCTCCACCTCCCCCGCCACCCCCCATCGCAGCCCTGACCTCGCTCTGTAAGAGCCAGGGGCTCACGCTCAACTCCAGCTGCACGGGGAAAAGAGGGCCCCAGTTCACTCAGACACATTAGGAAGGAAAGGACCACAAAACAGCCCGATGAGGGGTGTGGTCCTTAAAAACTCAGAGAGACCTGGAGATCTCTAGGGTTGCTGAGGCTGCTCTGGGTAGTTTCATCCCCTTGGCCCTGAGCTGAAGGAGCTCAAGTATTCAGAGAATGTGAAGAGAGATTTGTAGTGGGAGAAAAAACCTGACAACAACCAAAACCCAACTCTCTTCACACTTGAGGTGGCAGGAAGTCAGAGGGAAGGGAGTCTGAGAACCAGCAAACTCCAGCCCAGCCGCCCCAGCCTGCGC